GGGGCTGTGGGACCCCCCCGGCCCCCACCTTTGAGGGTGGCAGCTCCCCGGCCGCCCCCCGCCGTGGGGGCCCCCCTCTCCACCCGCTCCTCCCCGGGGTTTTGCCCATAATGGCGTTTTTTGGCATTAAAGGGGGGCCCCGAGACCGCCCCCCCCGGCAGCAGCACCCCAGGGGGCTGTGAGCCCCCGATCCACCCTGCCTGCACCCAGCGGCCTCACGGGGCAGGGGGGCACGGCCAGGACCGGCCACAGCGCTGCAGGCGTGCACACGCGTGTGCACACGCGTGTACGTGCACGCACATTCACATGTGCGCAGATGGGCAGGCACACACGCAGGAACACATGCACGCCTATAGGAACTTACACGTGCACACAAGCCTATGTGCACGCCTACATGCATGCACACATGCACACGCACATAGATGTACACGTGCACGTGCAAAAATGCATGCGTGCAAGCAGGCACATACACACAGGCATGTATGCACATGTAGAGACATGTATGCGCACATGCACACACACTCATGGACACACATACACATACATGCACAGACACACACATGTGTGCATGTGTGAAACACACATGTGCATGCTGAGTGTGTATGCACACCCCCAGGCACGTTGTGTGCACCGTTAAGCGTGTGTGTGCATCTCTGAGCACACGTGTGCACACTGAGTGTGTATGCACACCCGGCACCCCCCGAGCCAACCTGCCTGCACCCAGCGGCCTCACGGGGCGGGGGGGCACGGCCAGCACTGAACACGGCGCTGCAGGCGTGCACACGTGTGTGCACACGCGTGTACGTGCACACACATTCACATGCGCGCAGATGGGCAGGCATACATGCAGGAACACATGCACGCGTATAGGAACTCACACGTGCACACATGCCTATGTGCACGCCTACATGCAAGCACACATGCACACGCACATAGATGTACACGTGCACGTGCAAAAATGCATGCGTGCAAGCAGGCACATACACACAGGCATGTATGCACATGTAGAGACATGTATGCGCACATGCACACACACTCATGGACACACATACACATACATGCACAGACACACACATGTGTGCATGTGTGAAACACACATGTGCATGCTGAGTGTGTATGCACACCCCCAGGCACGTTGTGTGCACCGTTAAGCGTGTGTGTGCGTCTCCGAGCACACATGTGCACACTGAGTGTGTATGCACACCCCCAGGCACGTTGCTGGGGGGGTGGGGGTGTGCACCATTAAGCGTGTGTGTTCATCTCCGAGCACACGTGTGCACACTGCGGCTGCGTGTGCCCTGCCAGGCGTGTGCGTGTGCACTCAGCGTGCGTGTGCACGCTCAGCACATGTGTGTGCTGCCAGACGTGTGTGTGCACGCTCAGAAAACCTGACCAACACCCCCCTGGAGGGGTAGCCCCGGGACACACACACACACACACACACACACACGCGTGTGATGCTCCGTGCCCCCCAGCCCCTCTCGCTGTCACATGTGGCCGTTGCCGTGACGGTGGCCACGCGTGTGCGTGGGCCAGCCCCGCCCTGGGGAGCCACTGGTGGTGCCGTGCTGGTGGCGTGGCCGAGAGTGGTGAGTGGGACACGGGGAGGGGGGGACACGGGG